TCACATCTGGGCGCAATGCATGAACGCGTGTTTTTTTCGTGCGTTTTTAGGGCAGCCCATTCAATTTAATGGGCGTGTGGAAAACACGCTAAAATAGTGCGTGTAGTGGCGGGTGCCATGTTTTTGCGCATTTCGCACGGCAGGCTCAATCATGGGACGACAGACGCGCCAAAGTAGCATTTTTTTTTTAATTGCGCATTTTGACGCAGTTGCTGTCTGGAAAAACACGCATCCGCTTGGGGTGCCATTAAAATAAATGTTTTTTTTTTTTGCACGTAAACGCAATCAAAAACGCGCAATTTTGCGCACGCTCACCTAACGCCCGAGTGTGAATGGGGTCTGAGTCAGACGCGGACTGGCAACTTATGGGGCCCCCGGGCAATAGGGGATCATGGGGCCCCTGTGTCCTCCCCCACACTCAAACCACTCCCAAAAAAGCCTATGAAAGGTACCAGGCAGGGGCGGACTGACCATTCAGGTACTCAGGCACCGCCCGAGGGCCCGGGGTCAGTAGGGGGCCCATGAGATGCCCTGGTACCTTTCATTGGCTTTTTTTGGGTGTGGTTTTAAGTGTGGGTGAGGACACAGGGGCCCCATGATCCCCTATTGCCTAGGGGTCCCATGAGTTGTCAGTCCTCCCCTGGTACCAGGGGCATCTCATGGGGCCCCTTACTGACCCCGGGCCCTGGGGCAGTGCCTGAGTTTCCGAATGGTCAGTCTGCCCCTGGGTCTAACCGTTGGTTCATATCTGTGCTGTTACATGTAGGAATGGGCTGCACTACATGCGACAAGCGAGGCAAAGAAGCATGGCGGTGAAATTTTTTGACCGTGCAAAAAATCTGCTGGACGCGTTCATGGAACACGCAGATGTGAATGGAGCCATAAGCTGCACAGTCAGCGGACGGGGGTGTACACATCCTGGGGCCCCAGACACAACCACATGCAGTGCAGGCGGCTGCTGCTATCTACCACGGATCGCTGTTCAGAGGTCAGTGCCAGTGTTACGGTTCACATTGCGTTCCAATGCAGGACGCGTTCCATGCACACTTCCCGCACCGCGTTCCATGTACACTTCCCGCACCACGCTCCATGCACACTTCCCGCACCGCGTTCCATACACACTTCCAGCACCGCGTTCCATGCACACTTCCCGCACCGCGCTCCATGCACACTTCCCGCACCGCGCTCCATGCACACTTCCCGCACCGCGCTCCATGCACACTTCCCGCACTGCGCGTTCCATGCACACTTCCCGCACCTCGTTCCATGCACACTTCCCATACCGCGTTCCATGCACACTTCCCGCACCTCGTTCCATGCACACTTCCCGCACCTCGTTCCATGCACACTTCCCGCACCTCGTTCCATGCACACTTCCCGCACCTCGTTCCATGCACACTTCCCGCACCTCGTTCCATGCACACTTCCCGCACTTCGTTCCATGCACACTTCCCGCACTTCGTTCCATGCACACTTCCCGCACCGCGCTCCATGCACACTTCCCGCACCGCGTTCCAAACGCACTGCCGTTACCATCTACTGCGGGTGCCGATACATTGTTGACGGCACTCCAAACACAAATCGCAAGTGCAGTGCATTTGCGGGCACCAAATCGCATGGTACCCCCAGTACCAACCAATCTGCTACGGCAGATTTTTCAAATGTAGCGTCTGCACTACTTTTTGTGTGTTTCGGTGCAATTTGCAGCCCATTCAAATAAATGTGCGCTGCAGGGGAACGCACAGGGATGGCACGGGAACACGCGCGATTCTGGAGTGAACCAATCCTAAGACTCCGTTCGCACTTGTGCGACTTGTCATGTGACTTTGGACACGTAAAGTCACATGACAACTCACAGCCCATTGTCTTCAATGGCGCCCGTTCGGATCTACGCGACTTAAAGCTTTGAAAAGGCTCCTGCAATACTTTGATGTGTGAAGTCGCATCAAAGTTTCATCAGAGTCGCATCTTTTGGAGTCGCACGAGTGTGAACGGATCCTAAAGGAGCCCTCAATGAGACGATTTCTTATTACGCTCAGTAACCAATTAGAATCCTTTTTTTTTTTTTTTAAACCAAGACTAGAAAAGACAGTTGGAAATGGATCGGTTGCTACGGGCAACAGGTAGCGTCATTTCTGCATGTTACTCACTGACGGATACAAACAGGACACGTTGCCCATGATATTAATATGAAAGAGATCATTAGGGCGGGATGTAGTCACCGGTCACACCTCTGCGATTTAAAATCGCACGATTTGCGTGCAATTTCAGCGCAATTTCTGTTACTCACTGACTGAAAAAAACGGGACACATTGCCCATGATAGTAATACGAAAGAGATTGTTAGGCCGGGATTTAGTCACCGGTCACACCTTTACGATTAAAAATCGTGCGATTTGCGTGCAATTTCAGCGCGATTTCAGGTGCGATTTCTGTTACTCACCGACTGAAAAAAACGGGACACGTTGCCCATGATATTAATAGTAAAGAGATCGTTAGGCCAGGATTTAGTCACCGGTCACACCTCTGCGATTTAAAATCACGCGATTTGCGTGCAATTTCAGCGCGATTTCAGGTGCGACTTCTGTTTACTCACCGACAGAAAAAAAGGGACACGTTGCCCATGATATTATTACGAAAGAGATCATTAGGCTGGGATTTAGTCACTGGTCACACCTCTGCGATTTAAAATCACGCGATTTGCCTGCAATTTCATTACAATTTCAGGTGCGATTTCTGAATACTTTATTGCTACTTATTATTATTATTATTATACAGAATTTATATATTATTATTATTATACAGGATTTATATATTATTATTATTATTATACAGGATTTATATATATTATTATTATACAGGATTTATATATATTATTATTATTATACAGGATTTATATATTATTATTATTATTATTATACAGGATTTATATATATTATTATTATACAGGATTTATATGGCGCCAACAGTTTGCTCAGCGCTTTACAATATAACGGGAGACAATACAGCAACAATACAGTCCAATACAAGAGGGATAGGAGGGCCTGATCCTGGGAGCTTACAATCTAAGAGTAAAGATTTTCAACGATTTCTTGCAATTTGCAGTGCGATTTCCATTATATTCCATGTATGTGAAATCGCAACAAAACTGCAGAAAAAGAAATGCAAGAGCTACTTTAGAAACCACGCGGCAGCAATCGCACACGTTAAGACGCTGACATTCACATTCATTAGATGCGATTTCAATTCCCAAATCGCGGCGGTATGACCGGGCGCTTATTCCTAGAAACGGCAAAATGTCCCCTAATACATAGGCCCCTGCATTGGGATTTATGCATGAAACGTATGTTTACACAAGCAACCCTGGTTGCCCGTAGCAACAGCACAGGATTCTGAGTGGTTGCTATGGGCAACACTTTTCATACACGGTTGCGGCCTAGACATCAGAGGCGGGTTTATGACAACCGCAAAGAGAACAAACAGTGGCTCGTTGCCCGTAGCAACTGCCCTTAATCAAACAATTCAGGGAATCATAAAAACGTAAATATCCGCGCTATCATGACAAATCATATATTAAAATAAAAAATGTATATATAATGCTGCTGTTCCTAAAGGGAAAATCAGGGAATCAGAATGAAATTGGAATGAAGATCCTCTTTGACTCCATTTTTTGTTTTTGGCATGCCAGTCTTTATTTACTATGATTTTCAGCAAAAAAAAAACCATAGTATAAACCGCAAATATTCATTTATTCTGGCCATTGCAATGCATTAACACGCCATAGTAAAAGCCGCGGACTGCACGTGCGTTTAGCCGTGTCAAGTGTTTGAGCGTTAATGGATTCCATTGACCAGAGTATTCATTTATTCTGGCTATTGCAATGCATTAACAAGCCTAAATGCATTTAAGAGCGTTCATGGTCTTCCGCTCCTCTCCTGGACGCACTTTTGATGTTTTTTTTTCCAGCCTGTAAAGGTTCCTCTTCTAATACGCCTGTAAATACCTCAGTAGGTAGGCTTACATAGAGCTGCTTTTACAGGCTGAAATAAAAACACTAAAGTGGCGTTTTTAGGCCCAATGTGCATGGGGCCTAAAGCTTCATGAGTGGGGCCTGTTGTTTACCTTTTGTCATTGTGTACACAAACAATACCAACGCAACCCCTGCGGTAGGATGCGGCCTTTATTTAACTGCTGCCTCAGGCAGGAGGGTGTACAGGCCCAACTCTCCCCCTCCCTCAGTGTGTAAAATAATCCTCCCTCCGAGGGCGGGCGGCCTGTGTGTCAGTGTGACTCGGCCATCTGTGTGTGTTTGTGACATCCAGCTTGGACGCGGTGTGCGTCATCGTCACACAGAGCGGTGGGCCGTCCCTGTCACCCCCCATCCGGCTCCTGGGGGACTACATGCCCCAGCAGGCCTCACAGACATGCTGGGACTTGAAGAATGTATAGGAGTACATAAAGGTTTACACACACACAACAAAAAGAAGTGCCTAGTGCAAACTGCAGTAACCAATAGCAACCAGGCAGTCCATCGTGCGCTGGTTTGGCTTCAGATCGGTTGCTGATTGCACTGATCCAGGGGTGGACTGACCATTCGAGCACTCGGGCACTGCCCAAGGGCCCAGGGTCAGTAGGGGAAATGCCCCTAGTACCTTTTTATAGGCTTTTTTGGGTGTGGGTAAGGACACAGGGGCCCCATGATCCCCTATTGCCCGGGGGCCCCATGAGTTGTCAGTCTGCCCCTGCACTGATCACTCCATATCCTTCATATTGACAGTAGTGTACAGTTTAGGCATGAATACTAACCATCGCCACCCCCTCTGTGTTTATATATTGGCGAGCATTCAGTAGGGGGGCCACCTGGCCGGTATTATACCGTCTTGGCCCAAAAAAACGAGACCAATGTTATTAATCCGAACTGGATCGTAAGGTCGGTGTGGAAAATTCTAAGTTGTATGAGGCCTGAGTTGGCCATGGATCGAATGTCAGCCAATTCAGCAGGAATTTGTTCCGTGGGATCACCAAAAATTCCCGGCCGAACAACACCTACATCCAATCAGATGCAGCCAGTGCCCAAGTATGCTGAAGGTGTCGCAGGGGTGGACTGACAACTCATGGGGCCCCCAGGCAAAAGGGATCATGGGGCCCCTGTGTCCTTGCCCAAACTCAAAAAAGCGTATGAAAAAGGTACCAGGGGCATCTCATGACTCATGGCGGACTGACCCCGGGCCCTCAGCAGTGCCCGAGTTTCCAAATGGTCAGTCCGCCCCTGGGGTGTCACGATAGACGCTGAAGATGCGCCCATCCACACTGGAGGGGATCGAGCGATTTCTCGTTCAGTCCATGGGGATGAATCAGGGAAATCATGACATGTGTGGCCAGCTTAACACAAATCTGATCACCGACTGCATTGTATGCGTGTGACACAACCCCGTCATAATCATACTACTGCGCAGTAACTATGGCCAGAGCAGGCCACGCGGCTGCTGAGGGGCCTGGGGGTAGGAGGGGGCCCCATTACAACATCAAGGAGAGTTGACATCAGACATACAGCAATCATCATTGCACATCACAGGTCCCCCTTGCAGGCTGTGCAGTCATTTGTTTAGCAGTGTAGATAATATTGCTTCCGGTCATCCCAGCCAGCACTGAAATTAACCCTGTACTCCCAAACTCATATAAAAAATATGTGTCTCCTCTGAAGTTTATAGTTTTGCAAACAGCAAGTTTAAAAAATTTGTATTATCAATTAATTGTTGAAAGAACACTAATTATAAATATTCTGATTGTTATTTTTAGTCCTAGAACACTTTTTATTTTTTTTACTGACTACTAGACGTCTCTTTCAGCATTTACTTGCTGCGGTGGTAAAGGTGGGAGCTAGTGATAAGAGAGCGGTTATATAGAAAAGTATTCAGCCCGGGTTCACATATGTGCGCTGCGGTGATTCGCACAGGAACCGCGCCGTATTCCTCTGCAAATCGTATGCGATTTGTCTGCAGTGCGATTGGAGACGTACATTTTGTATGGCTCTATTCGCGCCGCACCCGCCACCAAAAACATACAGGACCCTTTTTTTGGGTTCGCACTAGAATCGCATTGCATAGGTATTCACACCTATGCGATCCGATTCTGCACATCGCACCGCTTTCGGGGTGTTGCTACTTAACATACACGCCTGCGGCGGTTCGCAGGAACGGGGTGCGATTCTGATGCGGTGCGGAATTCGCACTGAAAACGCTGCGAATTCTGCACCGCATCAGTGTGAACCAGGGCTGAAAGTTCGTTCCCAGCACTCCTTTGTCCCTCCATTCCCACGAACACATATGTAATAATAAAAAAATGTTATTTTTTTTTTAGTCCTATAACACGTTTTTTTTCTTTTTTTTACTAACTACTAGACATCTCTTTCAGCAATTTCTTGCTGCGGTGGTAGGTGAAGTTTACTAGAAGAAAATATGGAAAAATGATGCTAAAAGTCCATTTCCGGCACGGTTGTCCCTCCATTCCCACCAACACTTAACTAATAATATAAAGTAATCTGATGATTATTCTTTTTTTAGTCCTATAACACTTTTTTCTTTTTTTACTGACTACTAGACATCTCTTTCAGCATTTTCTTGCTGTGGTGGTAGGTGATTCTAACTAGAAGAGAATATGGGAAAAAGATGCTAAAACTTCATTCGCGGCACGGTTGTCCCTCAATTCCCACTAACACCTATGTAATAATCTAAAATATTCTGATAATTATTTTTTAGTCCTACAACATTTTTTGTTTCTTTCTACTGACTACTAGACACCACTTGCTGTGGTGGTAGGGGTGAGAACTAGAATATGGAATATAGAATATGGAAAATGAATGTTAAAAGTTAATTCCCGGCACTGTTGCCCCTCCATTCCCACTAACACTTATGTAATAAATATAAAATATTTTCAGAATTATTTCCCATCAAGAAGAGCTGACATCAGCCATACAGCAATCATCATTGCATATCACAGGTCCCCCTTGCAGGCTGTATACAGGGGCGGACTGACAACTCATGGGGCCCCCAGGCAATAGGGGATCATGGGGCCCCTGTGTCCTTGCTCAAACTTAAAAAAGCCTATGAAAAAGGTACCAGGGGCATCTCATGGGGCCCCCTACTGACCCCCGGACCCTCGTTTCCAAATGGTCAGTCCGCCCCTGGCTGTGCAGTCATTTGTTTAGCTATCTAGGCAGTATAAATGTATTGCTTCTGGTCATCCCAGCCAGCACTGAAATTAACCCTGTACGCCCGAACTTAGTCTTCCTATAAAAAAAATATGTGTCTCCTCTGAAGTTTACAGTTCTGCAAAAAGCCAGTGTTTAAAGTTTGTATTATAAATTAATTGTTGCAAAAACACTAATATTCTAATGGTTATTATTTTTAGTCCTATATCATTTTTTGTTTCTTTCTGCAGACTACTAGACGCCTCTTTTAGCATTTACTTGCTGTGGTGGTAGGGGTGAGAGCTAGAATATGGAATATACAATATGGAAAATTAATGTTAAAAGTTAATTCCCGACACTGTTGCCCCTCCATTCCCACTAACACTTACTGTATATAATAATATAAAATATTCTTTTTTCTATTTTGTTTTTTCTTTTTACTGACTACTAGACACCTCTTTCGGCATTTTCCTGCTGTGGTGGTAGGTGGGAGCTAGTAATAAGAGAGCGGTTATTTGGATAATTAATGTTTTTAACTTTTTTTTAACTCCCTGCCTCCATTCCTACTAACACTTACTGTATATAATAATATAAAATATTCTGATAGTTATTAATTTTAGTCCTACAACACTTTTTTTTTTTTCATTTTTCTGACTACTAGACACCTCTTTCAGCATTTACTTTCCACGGTGGTAGGGGTGAGAACTAGAATATGGAATATAGAATATGGAAAATTAATATTAAAAGTTAATTCCCGACACTGTTGCCCCTCCATTCCCACTAACACTTACTGTATATAATATAAAATATTCTTTTTTTCTATTTTTTTTTTCTTTTTACTGACACCTCTTTCAGCATTTTCCAGCTGTGGTGGTAGGTGAGAGTAAGAAGAGAGCGGTTATTTGGATAATTAATGTTAAAAGTGAATTCCAGGCACTCTTGCCCCTCCATTCCCACTACAGTTACTGTATATAATATAAAAAATATTATTTTTTTCTATTTTTTTTTTTTTTACTGACACCTCTTTCAGCATTTTCTTGCTGTGGTGGTAGGTGAGAGTAAGAAGAGAGCGGTTATTTGGATAATTAATGTTCGAAGTTAACTCCCTGCCCTGCTGCCCCTCCATTCCCACTAACACTTACTGTATATAATATAAAATATTATTTTTTTCAATTTTTTTTTCTTTTTACTGACACCTCTTTCAGCATTTTCCAGCTGTGGTGGTAGGTGACAACTAGTAAGAAGAGAACGGTTATTTGGATAATTAATGTTAAAAGTTAATTCCCGGGACTGTTGCCTCTCCATTCCCACTAACAGTTACTGTATATAATATAAAATATTCTTTTTTTCAATTTTTTTTCTTTTTACTGACACCTCTTTCAGCATTTTCTTGCTGTGGTGGTAGGTGAGAGTAAGAAGAGAACAGTTATTTGGATAATTAATGTTCAAAGTTAACTCCCTGCCCTGCTGCCCCTCCATTCCCACTAACACTTACTGTACATAATAATATAAAATATTCTGATAGTTATTAATTTTAGTCCTACAAGTCCTATTTTTTTTTTTTTTAATTTTGCAGAGGTCGTGGAGCTACGGGGCCCCATGATCGGTAGTGACGTCCCTGCGAATGTCCCTTGCCCCTCCACACCTATTCACAGTCTCGGTGCCTGTTAATAAATCTACTGACAGCTCTCCTGCTGCTTGTCCTTCATATCAGCATACTTTATGTTAAGATCAATGACAGGGCTGTCACAGCTGGCACCGGCAGAGGTCGTGGGGCTACGGGGGCCCCATGATCGGTAGTGACGTCCCTGCGAATCTGTGTCACTCTTGACCCTCCACAGCTATGCATAGTCTTGGTGCCTGTTAATAGATCTACTGACAGCTCTCCTGCTGCTTGTCCTTCATATAGGTATACTTTATGTTAAGATCAATGACAGCCAGGGGCGGACTGACCACTTGGAAAACTCGGGCACTGCCCGAGGTCCCGGGGTTAGTAGGGGGCCCCATGAGATGCCCCTGGTACCTTTTTCATAGGCTTTTTTGAGTTTAGGCAAGGACACAGGGGCCCCATGATCCCCTATTGCCCGGGGGCCCCATGAATTGTCAGTCCGCCCCTGATGACAGCGCTGTCACAGCTGACACCGGCAGAGGTCGTGGGGCTACGGGGGCCCCATGATCGGTAGTGACGTCCCTGCGAATGTGTGTCACTCTTGCCCCTCCACACCTATTCACAGTCTCGGTGCCTGTTAATAGATCTACTGACAGCTCTCCTGCTGCTTGTCCTTCATATCAGCATACTTTATGTTAAGATCAATGACAGCGCTGTCACAGCTGGCACCGGCAGAGGTCGTGGGGCTATGGGGGCCCCATGATCGGTAGTGACGTCCCTGCGAATGTGTGTCACTCTTGCCCCTCCACAGCTATGCATAGTCTCGGTGCCTGTTAATAGATCTACTGACAGCTCTCCTGCTGCTTGTCCTTCATATCAGCATACTTTATGTTATTTATTTATTATTTTATTTCAGGTACTTGTATAGCGCCATCAATTTACACAGCACTTTACATATATATATTGTACATTCACATCAGTGTTAAGATCAATGACAGCGCTGTCACAGCTGACACCGGCAGAGGTCGTGGGGGCTACGGGGGCCCATGATCGGTAGTGACATCCCTGCGAATGTGTGTCACTCTTGCCCCTCCACACCTATTCACAGTCTCGGTGCCTTTTAACAGATCTACTGACAGCTCTCCTGCTGCTTGTCCTTCATACCAGCATACTTTATGTTAAGATCAATGACAGCACTGTCACAGCTGACACCAGCAAAGGTCGTGGGGCTACGGGGCCCCATGATCGGTAGTGACGTCCCTGTGAATGTGTGTCACTCTTGCCCCTCCACACCTATTCAC